TCAATTAATTAATCTTTATTTATAGAGGGTAATACATCTAATAGTTGTACAACTAATAAACTTGCAGCCCACTAAAATATACAATAAAGTAAAAATCTATTAAAAACCTATATGAAATTATTTAAGCTTAAGACCTCCTGGTAAATAAAAGTCGAAAATGCATGCGAGATTAGCTTAACAGTGAATTCATATTACATTATAATATTAAAAATTAAAACTGTACAGGTTAAAAAAACTGTAAAATGATGACTGTAGTCCTTTTTAAAACTATGTACACTTCCCTTTTCTTTAAAAAGTTGGGAATGGAGTTCCAGTCTTGCTGCTCTCACGCGAAATGACCGCTCTCCCTCGGATTCTCCGTTGACACGAGGACAGGCCAAGTTTATAAAACCATGACGACTATTTCCCCTTAATGTCCGAGTTTCGAGCTAAGAGTTCGTTCATGTACAATGGGCTTTGTCCGTTGATACGGTTGTACACTTGTTTACATATATTTACTTTCACTTTAAGGTGAAGTGGGAGCCGATTGATTTCTTGAAAAGTTCGACACTGTTTGCTCGCGTAATGCAAAACATTGTTGCACAATACGTTTTTTTTGTATCTATCCAAACGTACCGCGTCCAACGCGTCTGGAGGAAGGAATGCAAAAGAAAAGAGCTTGCCAAAAATGCTCTTAGCATGTAGATCAATCTCCTCTGATGACAAATAGAAAAGTAAATTGTTTCCAGCTTGAACCTTTTTAACTCATGGTGGTATCAGACGTACTGTAAGTCATGACATGAGGTAACTCACTCACTCCGCTCTCTTTTACAATTAATTTATGCATTAAACCTTGACTAAACATGTTTTCCACTCTCCTCCTTCCCCCTCTTAGGTTTGCTTTTGTTCCCAAAGTTTCTGTGCAAATAAAATTGGGAGCAACCCAAAATAGATACATATTACTATGAGGTAACTCTAAGGAGCCTCTGATTAATTATGTGACCGCAACGCTGACGACAAGCATGTGATACTTGTAATTGTTACTGACAAAGAGCGACTTTCGTGTCATCATGATCTTAGCTTACCATGTTGAACGAATTTTTGCAATATTGATTACATGTATGCCAAGAAGGTCGGGGAAAATTACATGCGTTCATAGTAACAAATTCAACTTGTTACATGGACCAGCCTTCTCGTGTAAACCGCAGCATTGCTACTGCCTCCAGATCGCTGAGACTCGTTACGTTTCAAGAGCTGTTACTGGAGTACAGTTTGGTTGTTATTATTCTGGCATTTTCTTTCCTGGTGTCCCTAATACCAAAGTTTCTCCGTGTTGTCATCGGTGTTGAAGATGTCAGAATCTGCTGGTTGTAGAAACTGAGCTTTGAAGTACTTCAGACTTGCATAAGGACAGCATGCCAAAGGCAACATTTCGCCGTAGCTGCATGGACATGGATCTTTTGAACTACATCAGAAAGCAACGGACGACTTCGCGGATCGGGAAGGAGCCATGGTAAAAGTCACAGAATCGTAAATGAAAATGAAGGTATCTTTATGTATTACGTGAAACGAATTGAGGCTTGCTCATCTCGATCGTATACTCAAAACATTAAGTTGTATACGTAAAGCCGTACCGTTTCAAAACTTCCAACATGCCAGGGTCTGCAAATGAAAAATGAAAACTGTATTCTGAATTGCATCACAGGAGTGTATAAATGTAATTTGATGAAACCATTTTTTTGTTTGTTTGTTATTATTTCCTAAATATTATATTTTTTTACAGCATCATTTTGTGCATATACCCTAGTGGACGTTTGGTAGCATTGAAACGCCCAGAAAAATTAAGCATTATGGTAAAATGGACTGAAATAAAATGAGGATATATTATAGTTGTTCACGTAGACGAAACAAAGGTTTTATACAGAAGACACTTGTTGAATGTAACATAGTAACATGATAGTAACATAAAATGTTGTACATTTTAACCTTGGGCAGCTGCGGGTGTTATCAGTGTAACACTTCCGCCCATCATTACTGTAATTAAGTGCTCCAGACGACATGGAGACAGGAGTATGTAAATTAGTGAAACGTATGTCAAAGTTAAGGATATGAAATTTTAGGTATCATAGCGTACGTTTCTGTAATACAACAGCTTTGATATATATCTTCTTTATTGCAGACGGCGCTCTTTACTGATCTTAAGAAAACTTTGCTTCAAAACGATTACCCTAGAAAAGGCGATCCGAACTTACAACTACCGTTCCTAAGAAATATGTAATTATTGTTTTACCTTAGTTGGGTTTCCAAAGCGAAGTTATTGCAAGGCGTCTACAATTTTGTATCAGTTAGTTTTATGGTTTCGACAACCTCAGGTTTATTTTTCAAAACGCGTGTCACGTTAAGTACTCTTTTCTTTCTACACAAAGATCGTTTCAATCGCTCTCAAAAAATCTTTGATGATATGTTACGGTTTTATTTGTCTATTTTCGTTGACATGGTTAAAACAGTTTCAACTGAAAATCGTGAAAAGCCGCAGACAATCGATTAAACCAATCAAACCACAAGCAGATACAATTATCATTCGATCTTTTTTTTCTTTCTTCTTTATGAGTATAGCTAACTATCGTGGGTCGTGGGTGTGGGTGTGGGTAAAAGTCGTGGGTATCCAAAAAATATCCCCCCCCCAAAAAAAAATTAAAAAAATAAAAATAAAAATAATTAAAAAATAATTAAAAAACATAAATCAATAAATAGAAACAAACAAAAAAAAAAAATTAAAAAACAACACCATTACTATGGGCTCCTGTAGTTACTTACATCATTTGTGATGTGCATTTTAATGATGATGAAAAAACATGCGTTGTATGACGAGACAAAAAGAAACATTGATACGAGCAAAATATATTACATAGTCTATGGCACGCAAACTTCAAACACACCTCAGTGGGCAACTCCGCTGACAACTGCACCACCAATCTAGCATCGCAGGTTCAAGTCTAGCTTTACCTCTCCCTAATTATTTCTCCAGCACGCCCCTCTCCCCTAGCAATCGCCTCCTGTTACCCCCTTGGCCATTTATACAGTAAGCAGTACCCAGTCCTGTTAATTCCTGGACCATGTCCTACGCGGCGGGGCATCGTTGCGTGACCACATGCCATCCGGATGTCGTGTAAAGCGATACGACATAGGGCAAATGTCGCAATGAGTTTTAAAACTTATTATTTATTCAGTAAATATCTCCTTTGGCTACTAGGTATCTTAAATTAATTATTGGAAGGCCACGCAGTAAAACGTTTTCAATTTCCTGTTTCGCCTTGGTGTGAAATCGACATCTCGTCACAAATGTCTGGCATTCGAAGCGATAAAACATACGCGGATTAAATAAAGTCACTTTGGTGTTGAGATTGAACTGTTTTACCGTTACATTACAGGCGCAAGCAAACAATTTTCTTATTACTACAAAGAACTCATAATATAAGGACTTAAATGTCTGTACCCGCTTGCCCTAAGTCCATTGCTTACTTTTCGTTATCTTTTATGTAAAATCAGGTTTTTCAGCCGGGCCTCACAAAGCACTCGAAAAATAACTCAAGCTGATTTGAATACATGTTTTACAACAACATAAAAGTGCTCTAAAGGCGAAGTTTCTAGGAATTTGGAGTTATGGCACATGTCGAAAAATATCTCTGAATTTTATTCGTAAATTAGGAATTCGACCTAGTAACTGAAAGGGATTTTCTTTTTTTAAAAAATGTGTGTTTATTCTCAAATGGCGCTCAAGTCAATTTCTAACCTGCTTTGGATAGCTGAATACTTCGTCCTTCAAAAAAAAGTATTCATAAGTTTTGGCTTTCCTCTACACGCGAACGCAAATCAAGTTCAGATTACTAATTTTAAGCCGTTGCGATCGGCCATTTTGACGACCTTCGAGGCGAAAATCGTTTTGCTCGATTTTCTCGAATTTAAGAGGCTGTCTCTGTAAAAACCGACCACTGATTTCACGTCGAAAATTCGATTTTTTTTCAGAAGCTGGGATTTCGAAGCCCTTACCTAGTCAATCACTAAAATGAGTTTTATTTGATTAAAAATTCTAATTGAAGTTTTCTAGGATTGATTGAAGTCCGGTCCGATCGACACAAGTTGCATGCCTGCCGAAACTGGAAAAATAGCACATATTGCCGGCACTCTAAAAAAAAATAATATTCGCTCAAAAGTCCCAATTCTTTTTTTCAACCATAGATATATCATAGCAGTTTGTTTAGCCATGTTGAAATTATAATTTAATGTTGTTCCTTCAACGGTTAAAAGAAGATTTTCTACCCGTTAAATCGAGTTTTGAACCAAACGCGAACATAGCTCTACTTTGAAGGCACGTTTTAAAAATGTGGCACCTGTTTGAAACTGCTGAACTACATGAATGGAAAGTATAAATGTTCCTTAATTTAAAACAATAATAAAATATGTCTGCCCACTAGGTTTTCGAAACTAACGACCGCTTAAAGTTCAGGAAATTTTGAAAATATTGCAGTGAGTAGCCAACACACTCGCCTTCGTAAAGTGCTCCGATGAATTCACGTAAATCTCTTACCTGGCTTCAAGATTATAGTTTTGGTCCTTTGAAGCGATCCTTGAAACCTAGGTAGCGTTAAAACTGCCAGCTTTTCCTCCCAGCTGTAGGTTTGTATATAAAGAACCTTTATACGTTCCTTATCTGTGTCGAGCGTGACGGTCACACACTTCGATGTTCTTTGTATTACTGACCATTGTTTTCCTCGAAGCCGGTTTAATCATGTAGAGTCCTCTTGAAAGGTTTGTAAAGGCACTCTTTTGGACAACTCTCGGCACACTTACATGTATGAACAGTAAACGGTGATCCGGGAAGCCAAGGTAGGATTGATAAATGCCACGGCCATTTTGTGTTTACAACAGGTGTTTTAGTTCCTCACCTTCCCGTGAGTATAACGGGAATCAATGATGTGATACTCACGGGAAGATTGGAAACTAAAACACCTGTTGTAAACACAAAATGGCCGCTTATTCTCACAAGATCATTCACTTATATTTGAAGAAATATCTCGAACACTCAATACCGTCTTTGACCACACTTTTAGACACCGAGAAGAGAGTTGAAAATACGACGCGCAGAGGAGTATTTTTGACGAACTCCGAGCTCTTTGGAAATGGTGGTCAAATACTGTCTTGAGAGTTCGATATATCTTCTCAATCGTACGTAAAAATCTATGCTTTTAAGATCAGATAACCAAACACCGCCGCGGTCATGATTTTTCCTTTGATTAAACTTGGTGAATCATCAATGAGTTTGAGAATATCAGTTTTACAGTTTTCATTGAAATAGTAATGAAAAACATTACCTTGCACAGTACCTATAGGACACCCGTATAGCTCCACTCTCATTGATATGTGCCCCCACCAATCTACTGGATGGAAACGGATGAAACGTGCGGCCAGGTTTGATGGGTTTAGGTAATGACGGACAACAGTGTTCCGGTCTCTATTTCCATCAAAAATCTAAATCAGATAGATGTCAAACTGTAAGCGTTTATATAACATGGTACGTTCATGTCCATCGTGCATCCATAACTCAAAAGATGCACACCCGTGTTCAATGGTCGCAAACTGCAACACCAACTAGAATTATAAGTTTTTTTCGTTCGCTCTGGGGTGACGAGACTGCGCATTAATGACTTGAAATCATCTTTAAACTTCTTAACTAAACAACAACAACAACAACAACAACAACAATAACAATAAACATGGAGACCGCTTTTATTTAGCCGCCTTCTCACCTTGACGTGAGACCCATTCTCTCTGTAGTCCTGAAAGCTCAGTCCATCGTCACGGAACGTTAACCTGTACCTGGTCACCCACTGATCAAGATCACTTCTTCCTTGCGTTGCTATGCCTGTCACATTGAGCAGCGGACCCAAGAAGACCTCGAGCCATGGATTAAAATCATTTCTACCAGCTGACCAAGATCCCGACTTCATTGGAATTGGTTGAAAGTTAAGTCTGCCCTGGAAGGCTTCATGACTGGAATCCCATATTGAGGAAGCTGTAATTTGTGCATCAGAGATTGCGCCGGTTCTCATCCCCAGAGCTTCTTGGCATTCTAAAACGTTAATTGTCATTGAATGAGAGCAGGTAAGTTGATCTGAATTGAACTGATTTCAGCAATTTTTAAAGAGACTCAGGATCATGGTATCTTAGGTAATTCTGTTTATTATTGTTTAACTATGACTTCAAATTGGATGAGTAGCAGTCTTTTATGGGGAAAATGTGGGCCCAGTATCAAAGAAGGATGATTTCCTTGCAGTATAAGTAAAACCTTATACACGCTGAGATAAACTTGAAAATAGGCCTACTACGACGGTCGCGTGACGTGCTTTTCAAGAACACACTTATTTATTGATTGGTAATTCATAATGTTATCAGAAATGAGAAGAAGATTCATTAATAAGTTTACAAGCATATTTTCAGGTTTATATCCTTCAAGAGGAAATTTTTATGGATGTTTGAAACTAGGAGGATTTATATCGGAAAAAGACACTTTGCCCTCCAGTCACTTTCCATACAAATCCGTGTAATTTTGCAAATTTTCAAGCTGCTTTTGACTAGTCTTGCCTTTCGATTTAAGTGCTTAGAATTTTCCATTATTCTTAATACTTTACCCCTTTTTCTAACTCTAATAGGTATATGCCAATAGCTTCCTTCTGTAGTGAGAAATAACGGGAACGATTTCTGTAGGACAAAGCTTCCTTGCCTCCGTACTGAGCCCTCTAATTTTTTGCAATATTTAAATCGGCATTAAATCTCAACCTTACACGGCTACTTCTCAGTCCATTCTGACCAGTTGGTAAGAGCTGAAATTGCTTAAAATTGGGTGAGCTTAGGTGAGCTGTAGTGCTGATCTATCATAGTTTTCTCCCGAGATTTCTGGAATTTTAGATTAAATGGTTCGCATCTCGGCAATTTAACAATTTGTGACTTTTTCCCATTTGCTCCCGGTATTGAAATCTCCGAATTTTTGGTTGAATGGCAGGCACCCATCCAGCTTCACGAGATTAAAAATATGCATCCACCTGAAGGGCCACCAGGCTCACACACCTTATGGTATAATCTTGTTTATCGAGAATAATTTATAATCTTCCTACCTTCTTGACAACCATAGAGCTCAACCCTCATTGATATGGCTTTATTCCAAGCCACTGGTCGAAAACGAATAAAACGTGCCCTGATTGGTGGGTTTAACTCATGATAAACAACAGTGTATTCGTCTGTGTTTCCATCAAATTCCTGAAAAGGGAAAACGGTAATGCATGATTTTCAAATACTATTGCTTTAGAGTGAGTACATGAAAAGAACAGGCAGAACCAAGGAGGATGTGATACAGCTCAAATCCCTTATTTCGCTAAAACTTGCCAATAATGTTAGGTTTGAAGAGTAAATAATTAGGCCAAAAAAGAGTCAAAATATTTTATTTCCTTCAAGTTAGAGGAACCTCTGCAAAAATGGCTAATTGAACCAATTACACACTCTTAAACTTCCAATCCATATCTTCCAGTTTCCACGACTAAACTAGTCGAACAACCCTCGGACGTGATTTACGAGAAGTCTTAAACAATTCCCAATATAAAACTGTTTGAAATAATTACAAGAGCACCGCTGCAATCCATAGTGATAACGCGGACTCTAATTGAAGCAGATCTGTCAGAACAATTTGATCAAACATTCGTTAGGGAATTCTACATCACTCACCTTATTTGTGGTTTGGTGGAAGTTTACTCCATCGTTACCATACTGAAGCATGTACCGTCTTACCCACTGAGTATGACCGCCATTTTGTCCTTGCGTTGCTATACGTGTCACTTTAGTAAACTGACTTCCAAGATCAATCTGAAGCCATTGCTTGCGATCACTTTGAGCAGCTGACCAAGCTCCCTCTTTTGTTGCAGTTGCTTGAAAGTAGAGTCTTCCCTGGATGGCTGCATTATCGCCATCCAATTCAGAAGAGGCGCTAATTTGTCCGTCAAGGATTGCACCGTTTTCCATACCGAGAGCTTCTTGGCAATCTAAAAAATTTATGGAATCGATGCAAATAGTTTATTTTGGTACGACTTTTAATAATAATGAGCCTCCGTTCGTATTTATTACTGCCGATACACTGGAATCCTTAAGTTTGAAAAAAAAACACAAGTTGTTGATTTTACTAATTTTTCGCAGTTACTCACCAAATTTAGAGACACGTCCTTATTTACGAGACAAAGCATGCGTCGCTCGCTAACAACGTTTTCCCTTTCAAAACTACATAGGTGGTCTCTATTAATATTGTAACGTTTTACAAAAAATAGTATCACTTGCTTCTATAAAGCTTCAGTCAAATGATACAGGCTTTCTATGAAGAAAAAAAGGCTTTATTATTTGACTAGACAGGTAGGAATCCGATTATCGTCTCTACCAAACATTTCCATGTTGTTATTTGCTTGTTTAAATGACATGCACAGTTCTAAAAGCATTTCGTTACCTACAAGTCCCTAAAGGCTACCGATAACTTCTCACATTAAAAATGTCAGATATCAGACACTAGGTCATTTGATAATGCAATTCAAGAGTTTTGATTGTTATAGCCATCATGGTACATGAGCCATTAAACCGTGCTCTACAAAATAACATGGTAAGCGTACGCATGATTTTTCAGCGCGTTTTTATTTTTATTTTATTTTAGATTTCCATATTTTGGGGGCGTTGTTAATAAGACGATTATTCCACTCGCGCTTGTTGGATATGAGATGGTTAAAGCAAACTCGGCGCTTTGTGCCTCGTTGACCATCTACCATCTCATATCCAATGCGCGCTCGTGGAATAAATGTGAAATATCGTCATATTCTTATAAGATTAAATTTGGAAATACAGTTAACAATAAAGATTAGCGAAAAAACTGAGCAACGACGTTTCGGTGTCATCCTGGCACCATTTTCAAG